CCGCGTCTCCTGCATCGGCAGGCGGACTCTCAAGCACTGCGCCACCAGGGAAGCCCTGAAGTCTCTACTTTTAATGAAAGCAATCTTGTTATTTCTCTAGAGTTTTATTAACTTTCAGACATAGATAAATGTAAAGATTTAATCATACAGTGTATCATGTTTAGTACATGCTTTTGATTTCAACAATTTCTCAGGGAGGATAAATTATTTTAAGAAAGGCAGCCTATAAGCAATGATTATCAAAAACCTATCTTTAATCATTTGTTACATGATATTTAATATAGTAATAATTCATATCAAATTGTATATGACCCCAACTGACAGTTAATGATAATGTGATATATAAATATATTAAATAATATTGAAATTAATACCTGAGACTGGATTTTTTCTTATCAACTAAAAATTCCACGAGGACACATGAGTTACACAGCTTTGAATCTAGTACATTCGAGTGTTTCCTGCGGCTAGATCAGCCTTTAGTATGACCCTGATTTAATAACCATATTGACAAAAAGCTAAATTATTTTACAGAACTGTTGAAAGTAGAAGCAAAGATGACTATGAGAGCTTTTAACTCAGGTGTGTGCTCAAAATTTGAAATGTAGCAGGAAGAGTTGAAGGAGCAGTTTAAACGTAACATTAGGTAACTGTATCTAATTAGGGCATTACTAAAATGTAAGTTCAAATTTGGACAGAAATAATTTTCTAAATGCTTCTTTCAAAAATATAATTTATTTTTTATTCTGTGAAAGAAATATTTGTGGCAACATGTTTTTGAGTACTGATTTTAATTGCTTTGTAGAAATAGCAGTATTTGTTCTTGCTAGGAAGTTTGCTATGCTGGTGTTGTATTTAAAACATTATTAAAATGTCAAGATTTTGAAAGTGAATGTACCAACACTTAATGTAGCACACTAAAGGATGATTTTTCCCAAAGAAGGGATATTTAGAATTGATTTACTAGAAGTTGTTAAAACCAGTGTGAAAATTAAAGTATGATAAATATGCAACAGTGATTATTATGATTATTAGTGCAGAGGATGGCCTGATTAAGCGAGTAAATGCAATGCTTTAAATGGATAGATAATGTACAGGCAACAACCTGCAAAAATGATGATGCTTACTTCTTTTTATTTATGAAAAAATTGATTAGGTGAAAAGAACAGATTCCATATTAAGTAATGATTTATATTTTACTAAGTACTAAAACAAGATGAATAGGAGAGTTTTTTCCCTTAAGATGATTACTTTTTGATAGGAAAGGTAAACCTAAATCATATAAATAAATATGTATCTATTCACTCATATGATAAGTGTAGAATTAAATATTTAGATTATTATAAATATTTACATCATGGAAAAGTATACCAAAATAAATGAAAGGACCTCTGAATCAACAAAATTCAAAATTTGCTGTACACTCATAAAGAATAATATAGACCTACATTTAATCAAATTGCTACATATATAGCCATTATAACTACAATTGTTTTTTAGTGTTGATTATCAGTCTCTTTTTTACTCCTCCTAGACAGAGGTTACTGCAGACTGTTTGGGATGATGTTGGTGTTTTGCTCCTTCTTTTCTCGTGTTTGTTCATGTGTTTCAAATCTGTGCACTGCCAATATTGATTTCTGAATATCCATTGGTGTGTAAATGACTTGAATCATAGCAGATATAATTCTTAATTATGTTTAGAGTTGCTTAACTTTCAATCTTTGCAGTGCAAAGTTTGTATCACACACTCATACACAGACACACTCATATTTCTTTCCTTCTATTTTGCTGATTTTAGGATGGAAAACTGGCCCATCCTCTTTTGGCCATAATGGCTGGATTGAAAGTAGATATTACAGTGTTGTGCTTTGCTTTGTTCTGTTTTTTGTTTTTTTTAAATTGAATTATTAGATGTTGCTCTTGAGGATTTATATACTGGGTGTATGGTTCTGAGGAGATCTCTGTAGGAAACAGATTTATGCTAGGATTAATTTTAAGCCCACCAAATTTCATCATAGAATAAAAGGCTTTCAAATAATACTGCTTTTCCATGAACAATCCAACCAAATTTTTTTTTTCTACTTAACATCCCTTACATGTATCTCTTTACTACCTGACTTTAGGTTTACTAATTGAATTAGTTGTAATGATAGAATCAAGAACATTCAATTTAGAAAAAGAGGAATAAACTTGAAATAATACATCAGAATCAAATGAAGCCAAACTTCATTTTAAATTATTGCTTGATATTTAATTTTTAGTATAGGCCTCCCAGAGGGCTTCAGTTTGGTTCAAGATCATCACCTACTTGTGGAATGCCTTTTATTTTTCTCTATTTTCTTAGTACTTGTTTTAGGTGTTTCAGTAGCCTATGTGGATTTGGAGTCTCATGGGAATATGTTGTGCTCTCCTGTAAAACTTGCTCTCTATTTTATTTTATGTTCATTTTAAAGATGACGTAGTAAAGTGCTATTGAAAGTGAAGAAATTCACATCAGGGTAGAAAGTTATTAAAGTACCAGACTTACATATTTGCCATATATTTCAGATGTAATAACAAAAGAACAGTTTTCCTCCCTTCTTTTTAAAAACTAATCATTGTTGATTTCTTTTGTACCACTTAACTAAATAATAATTGTCTTTTAAACTTAATATGAATTTATCAAAGCCAAATTCAAAATAAGTATACCAATGTCAGACCAAGTCTAAAATATTTGAACACTTTAAGAAGTTTTATTGACTTTGTTGACTCTTGGAAGATTGGCGTGTATGTCAGGGTCCAGCATCATGACCATAAGCAATTTAGGATCAGGATCATTTCCTTATTTTTAGCATTAAAATGAGGGGATTGGAGGATGTAGGCTATATGTTCTTCTGAAAATCTAAGCTTTCTCTCTCAGTCTTCAAAGTTGATTCTGACTCTGCTTCTGGTTTTCCAAAATATGTCATAAAATACTGCAGCACGAGTGCTCTATAATTCTTTTTTTTTTCCAGTTAGTGCTTTATTTTTTCATTCTCCATAGAATACTGATTTTGTAACACTGATTACAGTCTGATACGTACCATTACAACAAAAGTTTCACTTTATGAAAGATCAGATACGGATACACACATCCCGTCCCATTGGCAGGACCGCCTAGGTCCGGGGAAGGAATTTGCCGACGTACTCGGAACTGTTTCCAAGGTTTTCTCGTGCTCAGAACTGTTTCCAAGGTTTTCTCGGGCTCGGGTGGTGTCGCGGCTGCTGGTCCTGGGAGCCAAGGCAACGGAGATCTTCCCAGCTCGCGAGAGCGCCCCCTTCTCCCACGGCTTCGGGGACCCAGTAACAGCTATGGATCCGGTGTCTGGCTCCCGCAGCCCGGAGTGGGAGGCCTCGGGCTCCGGTGGGAAGCGTCGCAGTTCGTCGAAGAGCCCTAAGCCCAGCAAATCCTCTCGCTCCCCGCGGGGCCGCCGCTCTCGCTTGCACTGTTGCTCTTGGTCCGGGGACCGGAATGGCCTTAGCCATCAACTGAGTGGCCCCAGCCAAGGCTCCCGAAACCAGGCCTACCGCTCCCGCTCGCAGTCACGCTCTCGAGAGCGGCCCTCCGCGCCGCGGGGCGCCCCTTTCGCTTCTGCCTCCTCGTCCGCCTATTATGGCGGCTACTCACGCCCCTACGGGAGCGACAAGCCATGGCCTAGCCTCCTGGACAAGGAGAGGGA